ATTCCTTTGCAGGGGGGTAAAGCAGAACAGAATCACCCGAAAATCGCCGTCCTGTTCCAGGAAGGACAAACCACTTCTCCATCAGCTGGAGACGTCAAAACTCAGAACCGAACCAGTAAATTAGATCTGCAGTGACTCCAGGGTCTCTGGGTCTGTCACGGGCGTCAGTACAAAGTGCCTCTGTCTGGTTTTCCTGTCCAGTTAACGACACGTCACTGCCTGCAAGCTGGTCAGGCGACATCAAACAGCGGCTCCGGCCCTGAGTCCTGATGGGACAGACTGAACAGCGCGTCTCCCTGGAGACCTGGAGTCTGGGAGCGTTGGGAGAGAGCGGGACAGCTGCCCAGGTTCAAAGCTCACTAACCAAGGAAAACCCCAAACATTCGCTCGAACCCCCACCTGCATGCGGTCGGTGGGCAGGATGTCCTGGGACACCAGCAGGGGGCGCTCTCGGGCCAGCTCCATCTTCCTGCGCAGGCGCCACTGGAAGAGGATGTCGTCCTCGGGACGAGGGCGCCCCCCCGCAGAGGGGCGTGGCAGAGCAGCCAGCGTCACCAATCCTTCAACACAGGAGAGAGAGGGAGAGAGAAAGGTTGAGAGAGGAGGGTGGAAATAGTGAGAGCCAGGGGAAGAGAGAGAGAGAGAGGGTGAGCGAGAGTGAGAGAAGGGAAGGGATAAAGTGTGAGGGAGAGAGAGTGAGAGGAGCAAGAAAGGGTGGAGACGGGGAGTGAGAGAGGGAGACAGAGGGCCGGAGGAGGAGCAGGGGGACAGCAGGAAGAGAGCCCTGGGGAGGAGTGGCCGAGAGAGAAAAACAATGCACTGTTGCACTGATCCGGGTCACCGGAGCTGTAGGAACTAAGACTGGCGCTGCAGTCTGAAGCAGAGCAACTATTTCATTTACACTTAAATCACAGCCACGTGTCCAACAAGGAGCTCAGCTGTGATTCACAGATCCGGCAACATCCACAACACATCCACAGTTTCACTCCCAGCAATGATGGAAGGGACCTGCTTGGACACAGAATCACATCTTTCTCATCAACCCTTCAGAACCTCCAAATCCCATTCTTCAAACTGCACCCCCCTCCCCCAGACCTACCAGTGGTAGGGTCGAGGAGACTGGGAACCGTGGGCCTGCGGACCGGCTCATCCACGCTGACGGGGGAGGACGAGTCCAGGGTGCCCAGGCCTTCAGAGCTCACAGGGATGGAGCTGCTGCTGAGAGAGGTCTCGCTGCCGGGACATCGGACAGGAGAAACCGCCGTCAGGGGGGTGTGGGACAAACTACCACCCGTCCAAGGATTCAGACTCCTCAGGTGCACGTCAGCCCAGCGGGCTTGAGAGAGGCTCTCGAACCCGAGCTCAGGAGAGGAGAACACGGGACATGCGTTTGTAGCGGAGACCAGAGGCAGTTGCGCTGGGATGCGTCAGGGAAGACCCGTGTGCCAAGATGCTGGGATCGGTCAGCTGCCAAGCCACCCTACCTCCTCTGCACCAGTCGCCTGGCCCTCTCCTGGAGCCGCAGGATCTCCGGGTCTCTGGGGTCACGTGGGGAGCCGTCCGACAGAGCCTGGGGGAGCACAGGCAGGGAACACGGCCCACACCTTCAACACCATCATCATCATCATCACTGAGACAGCAGTGTACTCACACACCCTCAACACTGGCTCAGCAATGAAGACAGGGCAGCAGGAAAAAAAATTCTCAAAGCTGTTATGGGGCATATAGCCCCAGTACCATCCTGCCTGGGGATCGTAATTTAAGTTAGGATATGGGGGGGACAGTATTCAGTCTGATATTTTTTGTATTATTTAAGTTACATTCTGTGATTCTGTTTCTCCTTAGGAAAGGAGTTAAACAGCTTCAATCTATAATTTCACTCCAGCAGTTATATCACCCTGCAGCTCCCAGCTGGCAGCCCACTGGAGCTCAGCAGTGTGAGCCTGGTCAGTACCTGGAGGGGAGACTCCTGGGAAAGCCGAGGCTGCTGCTGGAAGAGGTGTTAGTGGGGCCAGTAGGGGGCACTCACCATGCAGTGAGGGCTGCACACTGGTGGTGGTGCAGGGGGGTCCCTGTTTCCTAGAAAGCACTGTGAGTGGAGTGCCCAGAAAAGGAATTTGTTTTGAGCAGGTCTGCCTGCAGTGGCAGCTGTGCCCACTAGGTGGCGAGAGGCTCCTGCTTTAACTTTAATCCCCCGAGTCCCTGCGCTGGATCTAGACTGTTTTATGGCAATGGGTTGAAATTAAACACCTCGCAGCCCTCAGCCCCCAGGCCAGCCTCCTGCAATCGGCCGCAGCGTCAGGCTGGGCCGGGCAGAGGAGGGCGGGAGCAGACCGGGGAGACAGACTCACCGCGGGGCTGAGGTCCAGAGCGGCTCTGGGCGGGGAGACAGGGGGGCTGAGCCGGGACCGCGCCGCGGGGCTGGGGGGAGAGGGAGAGAGGGACCGCGCCGCCCGGCGGGCCGTCGAGGAGCCTGCAAAGACAGCGCGACGCAGAGTGAGGCCACGGCCCTCCGCTCCGTCCCAGGAATCAGTCCCCAAGATCCCTGCCCCGGGAACACCGGGAACGCCGAGCCGGCAGAGCACAGGAGAGGGGAGAGGAAAGCGAGGCGCACCTTTCTCGGACGTCAGCGCAGGGGGGGAGCTGGAAGGCGGCGAGGCGGGCAGCCACCAGAACCGTGCCCCCTCTCCCTCCGAGGTTGCGGAGCGCCGGCGCTCCTCTCGGCTCAGCGGCCGCCCGCGCCGGAAGCGCTCGACGTACCTGGGGAGGAGACGCGGAGCAGTCAGGGCAGAGGGGAGACTCCCACCGCAGGGCAGGCAGCTCCGCTCCGGGCGTCAGCGAGGTCCGCTGGGAGCCTAGTGCACTGCAGACTCGGAGCCTGATGGGCCTCGGATGTCAGAGCCCACAGCTCGTCAAGCCCATCCAATTAGTTACCGGGAGCTGGGCTGAACGAACAGCCACAGACCATGAAGCTCTGGCACAAGGAGGCCCATCCCAGAATCAGAGCCAGACGCTCCGGAAGGGCAACACAGACAGCTGAAAGGAACAGGACTCCCGTTTTAGTCCTGGTTGGAAGGGATTACACATAGGACCTATTGAAAAATCCTGAAAGGCTGCTGACGAAGTCGACCCAGAAGACTATTTCGGCCCAGTGGACCAGAAACCGTGGACACAGGTGGAAACTAACAGGGCGTGCATCCAGGACTTCAACCAGAAAGCCTATTTTTACACAAAGGATGGTGGTGGGAGGAATCGAACTGTGTGCTTGAAGACAGTTCCCCGGGATTATTCAGGAAACAGCTGGATGAGATAACTGGATCCTCCGAGCTGCTAAGAAACCCATCGAGCCAGATGGGTCCCACGGCCTCCCCTTGTTTACAACCCTCACTGGCCACCGTACACCTCACCTTGCCAAGACAGAGTCTTCCCTCGGGCCTACAGGTCCTGCCCAAGCCTGGGGCTTTCCTGCTGGGGCTGCAGGCGGAGAAGCGTCGGCGCCGGGGGAGGGGGCGCAGTCGGCCCCCTGGGGGGAGCCGAGGTCCGTGGAAGGCCAGGACTCGGAGAAGCTGGGCTGGGGGTCTGCGGCTGGGGGGCCGGCCGGGAGCAGGCGGTTGGAAGCCGCCAGCAGGAATCGCTCGTCTGCGGGGCTCAGCGTGTCCGGCGGTGGGGGGGGACTGGGGGGCCGGGAGAGACGGACGGGGCTGAGGGCCTGTGGGGGGCAGAGAGCACGAGAGATTGAAACTGAGATGGCAGGGGAATAGGCTAGAATAAGTCTGAAGGGAAGGAGGGATGGAGGGAGGAGACAGAAAAAACAACAGATCTTCCCTCTTACTCTCAAGGGTTATAAATCTGGAGCGCTATTATAGATTAGCCCTTTCCTCAGTATAATTACTTGGAGAAACCAAAGCTCCCTTTAATACTGCAACCAAAGCATATCAGGTTGTCTTTCCTTGCCATCCCATTCAAAACGGCCTGAACCAAACTCCAGACATCCAGTTCCGGCAACGGGTTTACTCAGACAAGCCCTGTAGCAGGCAGCGAGAGCTGGAGCGGACCGGCTCAACTCCCACACCCGGTGCTCACCGTCCTCCTCTCCGGCCTGGGCAGCGTCTTGGCACGGGAGGGGTTGTAGTGGGTCTTGGACAAGGGCGGATCGGGAGGGAAAGGGTTCTGCCTGGAGAACACAGCACCACTGTGGAGGGGAGAGGAGGAGCAGGACAGGTCAGTGTCATACAGCACCGGGCTCCACCCACACACACCCACACACACACACACACCCCCACACCAGGGCCAGTTTCCCAGAAGCCAATTAACTGTCTTTGAGCTGTGGGATGAAACCAGAGCACCTGGAGGAAACCCACCTGAACACAGGGAGAACATACAGACTCCACACAGACAGCACCCCGGGGTCCCAGCGCTGTGAGGCAGCTTCTCACCTTGATTTCATGTCTCCTTCGATACGTGCTCGCTGCCGGCGGCTTCTCTCCCTGTCCTGCCCCGACCTCCGCGCTGCTCCTCAGCGCCAGCAGCCGGCCGGGCCCGGAGGAGGCCCGCAGACCCGCACGCCGATCCCACGGCCACGCAGGCACCTGCTAACAACCTCACGGCTCACGGCTGGAGGCTGGACGCCAGGACGTCACGCCTGGTGCCGATCTATCGCCGCAGTGCTATCTCACCGGAATTCGCTTAAAATGAGAAACAAACACCCAGTGCGTCTTGCGTTAGTTTAGTGGAGGTACAACTGAGCTTTTCTGTTGCTTGTACTCTGAAAACCCTCAACTGTGTGGTATTATGAAAGTTTCAGCACTATAATAACCGATTATTGTTGTTTTGACTGTCAAAAGTGATCCGTAACGAAGACGGTCACGAGTTTTAAAACGCCGTGTTTAAGGGAGACAAATAATAATTTTACAACAGGCCTTCGTGTACACGTAAAGAACCTTAATCTCCAAACTGCGATACCGTGTATTAGCTGTCAGCTGTAAAAAATAAGATGCAAGTTATTTACCTCCGCTCTCTTCGAGTCTCCATTTCACCCCAACCGTAACCAAACAGCGCGCGCTTCCGGAGGCTCCGGCTCGTCGCCCGGCAACCGCACCCAATGCAGCCAGTGAAAACTACGCTTCCCATAATGCATTTAGGTGCTTTTTTTAAAAAACTATTTTGAGAAATAGAAAATAAGTTAGATTATAGATGGAAACAAAAATAACCCTGAATTCACCTTTAATGTAACACAATTATGGTTTTTAAGGCTCCATATGAATGAAAAAGATTCATCTTGAGCTTGATTAATATTCTGGGAAATGTAGTTTTAGAGCACAGACAGGCGCTTTCCCCGTATTAGCCAATCATATTGACGTAATTCGATGAGTGACAGGATGATTGAGCAATGAAAATGGGAGGCAGCCTTCGGTTTCCACCAATAGCTGAAGAGTGATCGGGTTGCGCGCGGAAGAGGAACGTCTTTTGGGAAACTGTCTGGGTAAACAAAAATATTTGATTTTAAAATGATGGTGTCTTTTTAAGTTGTCACCGTTTCCTTACCGAGGTGTTTTTGCTGTTATAGCACATGCAGCCTTGGCGATATACACAGAAATGAAAATTGTTTTGCTTCCTAAATGACGTCTACGTGTAAAGTCTATGTGATCACTTTGCTTTTTATAACCGTACCTACGTGGTCGGGGTTGATGTCGCTGCGATCTGCACGGCTACCATGAAAGGGGATCAGGTCTATTAATTAACTGTCTTAGTCAGGGAGGAAGACGTGCGGCAGGACTCTTTCTTTTTTGTCATACCATTTCTGTAAATGAATACAGTGCACAATAATATTAATACTCCTCTGCATTGAAAACTTTAAAATGCCTGAGGTTGGGCACTACCCTGCCGCTCCTATTGGCTAGGGTTAGAAATGACGCCTTACAGTCTACTTTAAATGAGTACCCCATAACGTAACTCTCCGGTTAAGTCTGCAGAAACCGTCAGGATTTTGATTGCGCTCGTTAACCGAACGAGTCGTGATAAGTTTAATCGGGTTATGTCGGCGATCCCGCCCGTCGCCCTCTCTGCTTTGGGATGTTTTTAGACCTGGAGGGGGGCACGGGACTGCCCCCCACCCCGGGGAAACCGGAGCCGATCTGGTTCAGTCAGGTTCTGACCTGTTGGTCCCCGCTGTTCCTCGGGCTGCTCCTTTAAAGAAGTCTGCTCTTTGCTCTCTTTTTACTTGAAAGTGACTTGTCTTCTTCCCGGCGTTCCAGGAGAGAAGGAGCTGTGGCCTCCGAGCCTCTCGGGCCGATCCACCATGCTGCCCATGAAGATCAAAACTGAGAAGCCAGGTGAGGGACGTGGAACCACAGTGGCCTGGGTCGTTCCCGGTCCACTTTCCTGCCTCTTTGGTGCCGTTTGACCCACCAGCGCCAGTCACCCATAAGCCCCAATGCAGATCGGCGTGCTCTGTGTGGATGGGAGTCTGATCTGTTGGCCTTTGTGGCCATGAAGAAATGAACCTCTCAGACTGCGCGGTGAATCAACACACAAGCCAGGCGTTGGGCTGGGGCTCGGCTCAGGCGTGCCAGCGGAAAAGAGGCATTATGAGTGTAGCCAGTGAAAATAAGGCAAAGCACTTGGGATAACCCATCGGCAAGCTACTCGCTGTAGTCATTGGCTCTGTAGTACAGGCCAGGAGCCAGACCCTTGCAGGACAGATATGAACTACGGGTCACCATTCGGAAGCCACTGTTCTCAGGGAATAATGATCTCCTCTGTCCCCTCTTGCAGATGTGGAGGCGGTCAGCGCCAGGAGCAGGCTGGAAGCGGTCCTGCAGGGCCTGGTGGAGAAGAGTGACAGCGAGAGGTTCGTGACTTTGTGCCAGATCAGCATCTTAAAGACTACGGCTGTACCCAGCTGCTTCCGAGCAGGTCTGGTGACACCAGGAGGACAGCCGGTCC